TCTGGTGCAAATTACTGACCTCTGTCATCATTTTAGGTGGGGGAACTTGCACAATCGGTGGCTGACTAAATACTTTTTTGCCCCACTGTATAATGATAATACAGTCAATAAACAGTCATTTTATTTCTGTTATTCTAAAAGCACAATCAGAGCACAGCACTGTGTTTCTCACTTTTGTCAGTTCGATTTTCATTTTTGCCCCAGTTGGTCCGGATCACTGATTTGTTCAGTTTGGTGATGATGTTGTCCTCGACACCAGAGAACTGAAACACACAGCTGTAACTCATCCAGTCTTCAGCTGGCACTGATGAAACATTCATGTTAACACTCAACTGGAACGTCCCATCATGGTTGTGGAAAATCTCTCCTTTCTTCACATGTTCATGGATCTCCACTCCATCTTTCCTCCAGAACATCATGGCTCTGTCAGGATAGAAACCTGTAGCGTGGCAGGTGACTGGGGAGGAGGGAGTCATCTGGAGGAGAGACACTGAGGGAGGAACTGCAAAGAAAGATATTTTTAAAAAATACTAATACATCTTTTTAAACTTTGTAAATGAGTCATAGCCACCATTTGATGCCAAATCCTTTTTCATTGTGATATCACAGAATTAACTGAGTTGCTAACAATGCTGCGTACTACAGTGACGAAAGAAGAAAGTCCTTCCCCAGTAGTTTACAAGTAATGTCTCTTTGCAGATGATGCTAAAAACTCCACCAACACCAAAAGTTCCACCAACTAGATATTTTTTAAGGTGTCAAAAAGTACACAAGTAAAAGTAAATGTAAAGGAATGTCAGTACAGCTATTTCTTAGTTGTTGTTTTTTTGTATTTGGTAACTAGTTACATGTGACAGTTTATCAGGTAATCTGTGCCTCTGGTCTGAGTTTGAGCTTGTAAACTTCTCCTTGATCTGTAGTCTGCTTATTTTTGCCTGTTTAACCAGCCTCTGGAGCTCAGAAAGTTTTTGAACTCTGTTGTGAATTCTCCGTTTGGACTTTAATGTACTTCAGTTCTACATCTAACTGAAGAGAACATGATAGAACATGAGCAGTATGCCTGGGAGAACATGATGATATTGAACTAACCATTAGGATATAAAGTAGTGCAAATGCAACATACCTAAAAGTGTTGATATGTTAATGCAGAACAATTCCTAACCAGAAATTACTCACTAGGAATGTTTGTCAATAGAATGTAAATTCAAATTTCACTCTACCTTTTCTATCCAAAAAACTCTTTGCATCATTAAAATACATCTTCATCATGTCAGGGCACACTGTTGTGAGGAAGTTCTTCCAAACTCCATTACTGGCTGTTTTTCTATCCCACTCCTGTTTGGTGGTTTTAGCCAGAGGGTTTGAAGTGATCCATTTCTCTGTTTCTATGTCAAATCTAATGAAGTCTTCCCCATTATATCCATAAAGTTTAAAAGCAACAGTCTGTTTCGTCTCATCATCCTGTTCACAGCCCATAATCTCCTGGATAATATGAACACCTGAAAGAGAGACAGAGACTGAAGTAAACTACAACTCATTCTAGCTTCTGTAGCATCTGTCACAGGTTTTAAAGAAATTGTCAAGGTTCAAGGTTCAAGGTTCAGACTCCAAAGGGAATTTTTCTGATCTAATCTAGTATCTATCTCTCTATCTATTCGCTTCCGCTTATCCTGTTCAGGGTCGTGGGGGTGCTGGAGCCTATCCCAGCTGTCATAGGGCGAGAGGCAGGGTACACCCTGGACAGGTCGCCAGTCTGTCGCAGGGCCAACACACAGGGACAGACAACCATTTGCACTCACATTCACTCGCACATTCAAACCTAGTGGCAATTTGGATTATCCAATTAACCTATCCCCACATACTGTGTATGCTTCCGTTGTATATAGTGTATTATCTTACTTATTTTGTATTTGTTTGTATTTTATTTTTTATTTGTTTGTGTTTTTCTTCTGCTATCTGTACCTGAGCTGAGGTAACGCACAGATTTACCCACCATGGGATCAATAAAGTCTTATCTTATTTTAAATAAACAAATAAAAGAATAACAAATAGGAAAAATGTTAGAAACATACCTCCAGTCTGGTTTGAGTACTGCTTGAAACTTCTAATTTCATCTGTGAGTAGCTGTTTATAATGTTTGCAGTTCTTAATCAGTGTTTCCCATTGACGTGGATCATCTTCCATAGACTCTCTTATCCAGTCTTGTCTGGGTTCTAGTGTTTTCATGTTGCTGTCATAGTAAGCTATTAAAATTCCCCCAAGCTCTCCTGCTGCCACATAATCTGGGGTGTTTGGAACTCCAGAAGATAACATGAAAAAAATCTTCAAGGAGTGTTTGACTGTAGGACAGACACAGTTAATACAATTAAAACAACAGTCTGACGTTACATGTGAGTACAAGTGACTTTTCTATTTTGCTAAAGGGATACTTGGTAAAGTTATCAGAGTTTAGTTGTTGTAAACCATTATTTATTCTATTTAGAATAGTTTTGTTGAGTAAATTCAAAATTGTATTTCTTGAGATGATCATAATCTTACCTGTAGATCCAATGTGAAAAAGCAAAAGGAGCATTATTAGATTCTTCATCGTGGTTAGAGTTGAGTTAAAGTAAAGAAGTCAGAAATGGTTTTACAGGTTTGTTCAGTCTGAAAATATTTCCTGGTTTCTGTTACATGCTGAGTATTTGAGGCGTGTTCACCTTCCACTGACTGGTAAACAAATGTTTAATCCAACTATTCCAGAGGTTATTCTATAAAGAGGCTTATGGTCAAAAAGACTAGATCAGTGTTTTTGTGTAAACCGATCATTTTTTGTTTGGGCCATTCGCCTGGGCTTGTGTTTGTTAAAGGCCAAAAATAGGCTACGTTACACAGCACAGATCTTGACATTAAAGAAACTGTTGGACATTATGGACAATGCTGGGAATCCTCTGCACATGGTCATAAACAACCAGAGGAGTCTGTTCAGTGACAGGTTGCTTCTCCCAAAGTAAAGGACCAACAGACTTAAAACCTCCTTTGTCCCACACGTCATAAAAATGTTTAACTCCTCACTGGAGGGGAGAGGGAGGGAGAAAAGGAGGACAAAGGAGGAGGGAACAACCAATTTGTAGTGCCCTTTTCCTCTTTGCCCTTTTTCTATATTCAAAGGTGCAATAGACTCAAAATAGTTGAAATGTGCAATTCCCTGGTAATTCCTATTATCCTATTTATCCCTATTATATACTCTGTATTTATATATGTCTCTGTATTTATATATATA